CAAACTGTTCTTAAATGGTTTGACTACTTACTCTGGAGCAGTAGTGGTAATTGTGCATAGATTATTTCTTTAAATAATTTACAAGTGCCCCAGTAGCCAGCCAGCCAACCTACAGGCTGGCCAGTAGCCAGCCAGTTAGCCAGCCCACAGGCCAGTAGCCAGGCCACAGGCCTACAGCAAGCCACAGGCTTACATCCAGCAAGCCCACAGCCTGCCAGTCGCAGCCAGCAAGCCACAGCCTGCCAGTCGCAGCCAGCAAGCCACAGCCTGCCAGCCGCAGTCAGCAAGCCCACAGCCTGCCGGCAGTAGCCAGCAAGCCCACAGCCTGCCAGCCGCAGCAAGCAAGCCCACAGACTGCCAGCCAGCAACAGTAATTAAGGTAAGAGGAGCCAACTTGGCCTAGGTATCAGCGAGCTATGTTGTGTTGCTATATTGTGAATAGAAACCAGAGTGTTGGAGAGACCACCCTCCAGGCCTCATTAGACTCCATTGTAGTCTCTAATGGGGCCTGGAGGGGATTCTTTCTAACACACTCTCTAAAGGACACTGAGATAGCCCCCCGCTAGAAAGACCCCCCTCCATGGCCCATTAGCCCTCAATTGTAGTCTCTGCTGGGGCCTCGAAGGGCTTATTGCCCTTTTGTTCCTTGTGTCTAAAGATTGTGTAGGGTGTGGCTGGAGGCGGTGCATGGAGGCGGGACAAGGGTGGCGCTTGCTGCAGAGTATGGGTGGGGCCTGTAAGGGGGCCCTTGATTTATTTTGCCCGGGGGCCCTGAGGGTTCTCAGTCCGCCCCTGTCCAGGACACAATGTGACTAATAAATACTTATAGGAAATGGATTAGACAACTTTTAATGTAAAGGAATTACCACAGTATGACTAGAAGCAGTCAGGGTAATACACAGACAGGCAAATGTGGTGAATCGAGAAAGGAATAGCAAATTCCAAGCTAAAATGGTCAAATTGGAAAACTCTTGTCACAACTTCTCAATTTTTCATTAAATGGAAGCACCAGAATCACTACAGTTGCATAAAGTGGTTTTGGTGTTAACAGCCTGTCCCTGCAGTCTGACAAACGTAAACACAGCCTTTTCTGTCAAAACACATTTGTCCCTAAGGACACCTTTAGTGGCTGTCACTCAAACAGCCACTAGAGGTGCTTCCTATTACGATCCTGCAATCTTTACAGGGCCAACGTTACCTAGACTGGCGATCCATGGCGATCCTGGTCGGGGGGGGGGCTGCCCGAGACCCCAGCAGTGCCCCGCGGCCCTCCAGGGCCAATGTGATCACCATGATCACATGGCCGCAATAGCAGTCTATGGAACTGCCAGCAGGGGAACTGTCTGAGCTGTCAGGCAGTCCCCCAGGCACCTAAAAATGGGTGAAAATAAAAAATAAAATAAATATATCATACATATATATGTATAATATATTATAAAATAATTAAAGCATTTTATAATATATCATACATATATAATGCATATACACTGCCTGGCCAAAAAAAGTCACCACCTGGATTTAACTAAGCAAATAGGTAAGAGCCTCCTATTGCATAGTTACTGCATGGGCGATTATCTTTCAGCTGGCAACAAGTTATTTAACCCCAACTGAGTCAATGAGTAGCTTCTCATTTCTCAAACAACCATGTCGAAAGACACATCCCGTGGTCGTGGAAAAGATGTTAGTCTGTTTGAGAAGGGTCAAATCATTGGCATGCATCAAGCAGAAAAAACATCTAAGTAAACTGCAGAAGCTACTAAACTCGGGTTATTATTAAAAACTGGAAGGATAGTGGGGAACCATCGTCTTCGAGGAAGAAATGTGGTTCGGGAAAAAATCCTGATTGATCGTGATTGGCGATCACTTAAACTTTTCACTTTTGGTGAAATCAAATCGTAGAAAAACAGTAGAACTCAGGGCTATGTTTAATAGTGAAAGTACGAGCATTTCCACACACACAATGCGAAGGGAACTCAAGGGATTGGGACTGAACAGCTGTGTAGCCTTAAGAAAACCACTAATCAGTGAGGCTAATAGGAAAAAAAGGCTTCAATTTGCTAGGGAGCATAAATATTGGGGCAATGGAATAAGGTCATGTGGTCTGATGAGTCCAGATTTACCCTGTTCCAGAGTGATGGGTGCATCATGGTAAGAAGAGAGGCAGATGAAGTGATGCATCCATCATGCCTAGTGCCTACTGTACAGGCCTGTGGGGGCAATGCTATGATCTGGGGTTACTGCAGTTGTTAAGGTCTAGGTTTAGCAACATTATGTGCCCAAAGAATGAGGTCAGCTGACTACCTGAATATACTGAATGACCAAGTTATTCCATTAACAGATTTATTCTTACTTGATGGCACAGGCAAATTCCAAGATGACAATGCCAGGATTCATCGGGCTCAAACTGTGAAAGAGTGGTTCAGGGAACATGAGACATAATTTTCACACATGGATTGGCCACCATAGAGTCCAGATCTTAACCCCATTAAGAATCTTTGGGATGTGCTAAAGAAGGCTTTGCGCAGTGGTCCGACTCTCCCATCATCAATACAAGATCTTGGTTAAAAATGAATGCAACACTGGACAGAAATAAATCTTGTGACATTGCAGAAGCTTATCGAAACAATGCCACAGCGAATGCGTGCCATAATCAAAGCTAAGGCAGTCCAGCAAAATATTAGCGTATATTTTTGGTGGCGACTTTTTTTGGCCAGGCAGTGTATATGACACATACACACAGTCCTGGGAGCTTCTCTTTCATTCCTCCCATGCGGCCATCTGCAAATCAGCCTGTGTGACCTCACTTCCTTGCAGGGGTCACGAAAAAAATAAAATCTATGGATAACACCCACAGACATACAGCACCCACAGACATACAGCACACATACAGCACCCACAGACATACACAGTACCCACAGACATACAACACCCACACACATACGACACCCACACACACACAACACCCACAGACATACACAGCACCCACAGACATACAACACCCACACACATACAGCACCCACAGACATACACAGCACCCACACACATACAGCACCCACAGACATACAGCACCCACAGACATACACAGCAGCCACAGACATACACAGCACCTACACACATACAGCACCCACAGACATACAGCACCCACAGACATACACAGCAGCCACAGACATACACAGCATCCACACACATACACAGCACCTACACAGCACCCACACACATACAGAACCAACACACATACAGCACCCACAGACATACACAGCACCAACACACATACAGCACCCACAGAAATACACAGCACCAACACACATACAGCACCCACAGACATACACAGCCCCAACACACATACAGCACCCACACACACAGCACCCTCACACACAAACACACAAACAGCACCCTCACACACAGCACACTACCAGCACCGTCACACACACATCACACTAACAGCACCCTCACACAGCACACACACACACACAGCAGTGTGTGTATGTGTGTATATATGTGTATGTATATATATATATATATATATATATATACATGCACATATATACATACATACATATATATATATGCGGCGTGTGCTTGTGCTTTAGGGTGCACACCCTAATGCAATAGACTGCGCACGCCTATGCATTACTCTACACAAATATGAGTGTTTTAGAACAGTAAAATGTATTATACTGATATCATCTGTGAAATGGCAGTTTATGTGCACACCCTCCAAAGAAGGTCTTTTAGCCCCCAGAGAACCCAACACAGCTATACATGGGTGGTATCACTGTACTCAGGAGATGTTGCTGAACACATACTGGGGTGTTCCTTGGCAGTAACCTTTAAAGTTCTCAGTACATGTATTCTTAAATTGCTTTGTGTGTCAAAAAATCACCAATTTTTTTTTTTTTTACATTTGACACAGATTGGTGGTAAAATGCTTTCACGAAAAGAGTAAAAAAAAAAAACAAGTTTAATACCTTAGGTTGTCTTCTTTTTAAAAAAAATCTACGCATGTGAATGGTTATTCAGGGATTCCTGACAGATATCAGTGTTACAATTTAACTTTCGTTAATTAAAAAAAAAAAAAAAGGTTTGAAAATAGCAAAGTGCTACTTGTACTTATTGCCCTATAACTTGCACACAAAAAAAGCTAAGAACATGTTAACATTGGGTATTTCGAAACTCAGGACAAAACTTAGAAACTAGCACAGGTGTTTTTTGGCAGTTGTAGATGCGTAACAGATTTTGGGGGTCAAAGTTAAAATTGTTTTTTTTAAATTGTTCATCATATTTTATACTTTTTTATTGTAAATTATATGATATGATGAAAATAATGGTATCTTTAAAAAAAAATTTAATGGCGAGAAAAACTATATATAATATATCTGTGGGTACAGTAAATGAGTAAGAGGAAAATTACAGCTAAACACAAACACCGCAGAGATGTAAAAACAGTCCAGTCCTTAACCGTAAGAAAATTGAAAAATGGTCTGGTCACTAAGGGGTTAAACTACTGTGTTTTATTATGGGTGGGGGCCCTTCATCTAATCAGTACATCTAAAGTAGGGATGTGCATGGGCAAAAAATTTGGTTCGGTACTTCTGAAATTCAGGACTTCGGCAATTCCCTAACCCTACCCCTAGAGGGATAGGATTAGGGGTATTAGTGGGGTTAGAGGAAGGTTGGGGTAAGGGTTAGGGTAAGGGTTTGGGGTAGGGTTAATGGTAGGGTTAAGGGTAGAGGAAGGTTGGGGTAAGGGTTAGGGGTAGGGTTATATCCATGTCATCATTCCCTTAATTTTTTCCTCCCTCTCCTGTTTTGCCACTTTTCAGAAATCCGAAGCACTTCGGCACTTCCGAAATTCGGAAGCATTCGAATGTCCGAATTGCCTAAATTTGTCCGAATTTTAATTTGGACTAAAACGAATTGCACATGTCTAATCTAAAGTTAGGAAAGCATGTTTGTATTTCCAATGTGAGAGTGCTCCTTTAACAGTGCAATTCCTTTGTCATTTAAGTGTCTGATCCCAGTAGAACTTTGTTGGCATATATTATTACATTTACAAGACATCAACAGAATAAGAGGACAAGCATGCATGCTTCTTGCAAAACAAAACAAGAGCTAGTATATTGCTTCTAGTCTTAGTGCACTGCTTATTGCAGGTTTGGAATCATTATTAAAATGAATGCTGATACACCTTTACAAAATGTTATACTTTTCAACATATTTTATAACACCGTAACAGTCTTAGAATAGAAAATGAAATTTCTTGCCACGTAGTTGCTAATATAATTAACCCGCCTGTACTAACCTATTAGTGTTTCATTAAAGGACCACTATAGTGCCAGGAAAACATACTCATTTTCCTGGCACTATAGGGCCCTGAGGGTGCCCCCACCCTCAGGAACCTCCTCCCGCCAGGCTGGATGGAGAGGAAGGGGTTAAACTTAACTCTTTCTCCAGTGCCGGGCGGGGAGCTCTCCTCCTCCTCTTCGGCTGAATGCGCATGTGCGGCAGGAGCCGCGCGCGCATTCAGCCAGTCCATAGGAAAGCATTCACAATGCTTTCCTATGGACGCTGGCGTCTTCTCACTGTGAAAATCATAGTGAGAAGCACAAAAGCCCTCTAGCGGCTGTCAATGAGACAGCCACTAGAGGCTGGATTAACCCTAGTATAAACATAGTAGTTTCTCTGAAACTGCTATGTTTATAGAAAAAAGGGTTAATCCTAGAGTGACCTGGCACCCAGACCACTTCATTAAGCTGAAGTGGTCTGGGTGCCTATAGTGGTCCTTTAATGCTTGTATTTTATCTAAATGTTGTAACATCCACAATATAGGCCTTTGTTTGATTAATCTTTAATTTAAAATCAGCTAAAAAGAATCGTTGTTTAGTATGCAAGGTATCTTTGATCCTAAAATATCCTGGAGTAAGAAAACCCTCCAATAACGACAACTATGCTGAAGATTTATGTGATCATCTTGGCATCAGAGGTTTATAGACATGGGAAAATTCCATTTTGATCCAGACATGCAGCCAGACACTGATCATGTGATTCACAAAAATGCTAAATTCATGTAACTTTGTGAAAATGTTAGTACACTACATACATTCATCTGTAATTTGCTTTTATTTTTTACCATTTCTTTTAGTTTGTTTATTGCACGTTACGTATTTGTAGTTATTTTATTTTATGTTTTCCAGCATGACTTCGTTTTGGTGGAGTATACATAAAGTAATCATTCCGTAAACAAAATATATAGTCTCAAGACTATTTAAAAGCTTGAATTTAGCATTTTAAATATCCCTGATAAACAGGACAAAGTGCAGTGTAATTATAAAACAGCTGTTAAAAAGAAGTCTCTACGGTAAAGTTAGTGTAAGTGGGTTTATCATGGTTGGTGCAGCCTTTTATGGTTGGGAGTTGTTTAAAGGTATTACATGAACTTAAAGGGACACTATAGTCACCCAGACCACTTCAGCTCAATGAAGTGGTCTGGGTGCCAGGTCCCTCAGGTTTTAACCCTTCAGATGCAAATATAGCAGTTTCAGAGAAACTGCTATGTTTACATTTGGGGTTAATCCAGCCTCTAGCTGTCTTCCAGATACTCATTTTGCAGTGAGGAGGGGGGTGACAGATCCGCTTTAAGGATCCTTTTCTAACATCTAATAACCAATGTTGTCATTGGCCACCGTGGCCAGAGGGTTGCTGCCAAAGTTAAACAAGCAGGACATTACAAGCTAGTATAAGCTTTTAGTCACCAAAATCTAATGACAGCAAATTGTAAAATATAGCCCTTAAGGAGTTAAAAGTGTATGAAAGTTTAAAGAGGCAGAACATTTTGGGCTGGTCAGAGGTAGATTCCAGCTGCTGTAGAAGTAGAACTTCCTTCATTTAGTAGTATGATAGTGAGAATTACGAGACTGAGCAAGTTCCAAGTATAGTGGAATAAAAAAACTCCAATCTTCAATGCAGGCATATGGAATATTTTTTTAAAAACATCTTTTAAAAAGTCTGAATTGTTTCAGAGAATGTAAACATGACATAAAAACAGCTGTCGTATTTTAAACGATAAATGTAAAGATGTTTTCACAATGTAGATCGACTTTAGACTAGACTAAGCCATATGGCTAACATTCTAACTTCTTAAATCATTCCAAGCAAGATTTGGGACACTGCCAAAACCTGGCACAGCTTGCAGCCAACTAGGATGAAGATTACTGTATCCCAGTTTATATAACTGCAGCTAGGAAGGTTGTAGTACGTAGAACACAGGACTAGGAAATTCTTCAGTACAATAATTTAATCATAGTTTAATTGGGCAGCAGGCACTCTCTTCCTTGTAGGTGAGAGACATTTGCTTGGCTCATAAGGATGGGCGTTACAGTCCACAGTATCTAGAATGCAGATGGGCCCTAACCCAGGGTCGGATTAACATAGGGACTGATGGAGCTGAAGCTCCAGGCCCACGTCCATGGAATAGGCCCATTGATTTAAAAGACAAATAAATAAATATGTATATATTATTTTTTTTCACATGCTCTTGCATTAGAGGAGAAGGAATTATGTATGGGGATTTATGAGGGATGTACGGAAACTTGTATGGACTGGCTGACAATGAAATTAGTTAGGGTAAAGCTGACTATGCGCACTCTGTAAATGCTCTTGCTGCTTCGATCTCTCTAACACTGTGGCATGTACCCTTTCTTTTTACACTCACTACATCCACCTTTTCTCTGTCCCAGACTGTATACCAAGAGCATCTGCCTGCGAGTATGAATGTAAGTAGCGGAGCGGACAAGTGAGTGCTAGTGGACAGTCCCCAGAAAACGTAGAGCAAGCATATCCAGGGCCAGATTAGAAGCCCATTGTGCCTGGTGCTGACAATTATGATGGGTCTAACTACAGAATCATATCGACAGAAAACACTAAAATAGGTATACCTCCAAGCGTCATGTATCTGGCGGAGGTGGTGCTGGAGGGTAACTCACAGGATGCAGCTATAAGAAAACACATACTCTATGCTTATCTATCACTTTCATCTTTCCAGTAAATACATTAAAGGGTGGGCCGCTGATGCAAAATACATAACCAGAACCGACCAAAGGGGTGAACATGCTCAAAAGGGGGCATGTCTGCCCGAAGAATTAGATGGTCAGTCTGGCGTGAATGCATGTCAGGCTGTCTGCCAATCATGCAGGATGACCAAATAAGGACATTCTATGCAGGCGGCATAAATGTGTCAAATGATGCACTAACTCTACGTTTTCTAAGGACTGTGTCCTGGCACTCACTGGTCCACTCCTCTGCTAACCTTCTTACTAACCGGCAGAAGCTCTTGTTATACAGTCTGGGACAGAGGAAAGGTGTATGTAGTGAGTGTGGTAAGAAAGGGAACATGCCACAGTGTTAGAGAGAACGAAAGCAGCAAGAGTATTTGCATAGTACGCACAGTCAGTTTAACCTTATCTAATTTCATTGTCAGCCAGTCCACACGTGTTTTGTTCCCCTACATCCCTCTTAAGTTTCCAGGTATAAGCAAGAGTATGTGAAGAGTAGTTAAAAAGTTTTTTGTTTTTTTTAATTAATGGGCCTAT